CGTTCCCAACAATTCCAATTAAGGATCCGAGCAGCAGCCACCTCAGAACCTAAAAGATTTATTTCGAGGCCGTTCATTGACATAATGAAAAGCTATTATCTAAAACGGTATTGTTTTCTCTCTCAATTACGTCGAAACATTACGCGCGCGATTGATATTAATGGCCCCTACCCTACCCCCACCACCTCAACTTAACCATTACGGGGGGCAAATTATCTTCGAGAGGGTGAGTAGAAGAGTCTTAAGTCCGCGTTAGAAATGGGTGCGAAGTATCGATAAATTAATCTTCGATAATCGATATATTCAACCGATTTTTTAATGCGATATACATTTAGACATCAATATTACATTATATATCAAAGTTCAAGGTGGAGTTAGCGTCTCCTTTTTGCTGCTAAGGATAATTTGGACAGGGCCTTCTTCGTTTACGCGGAATCCCAACCTCGTTCCCCGACCATATCATTGTTAATGGCCTACCGATTTCGCGAGTGTCTAAATCGACTTTTGCTCACTAGATATCTGGATCTGGGCCCAAATTCTGAAACTTTGACATAAAAACCATATAAAAGGGATACGCTTTCAAAGCGGCAAGCGAAAGTATTCGATTAGCGGAACGCCAAGCAGTCGATTTTGGTATTCTTGTTGCCGTGCGAATTGTTTTCTGGATACGCGTTTAGCACATATTGGAAGCATCGCAATTTCTCAGGTATCTAATAGTTTACTAATGCTTCATTTAAAACCTCGCAATTAGTGGAATAAATTAGTGGTTTCATTCATTCGCAATGTCTAAAAAACCATTAAAATTAATAGAATATCCAGTAATATATATCTAACACAGGTATCCTGGTATAATAATCGACAGCTTGCGGTTATCAGTTTTTTTCTATGGATATGTCATTATTCTTATGATACGAGGGAAATGTGCCATGCCCAATTCCATTTCAAAGTAGTTCTTAGGCACATTCAAAGGCTAAACGATGACCGATGGACGAAGACAATAATAGAATGGAGACCAAGACATGATGCATTCAGGAGCAGAGGCCGTCCTCCAACCATGACGACTTCCACAGTAAATAGATGCAAATAGCTCAAAATAGGGATTTATGGAAGCAAACCAGGGAAGCCTACGTCCAGCAGTGGACTTTAGCGGCTGGTTGATGATGATGATGATGATGACGAGGGAAATTTTGAAGACCCTTTTCAGCATTTTCGATGTTTTGAACAATATTTATAGCTGCCAAGTCGTACATTATCAATTACTTATTGAGGAATTAATAGAAGAAGAAATAGTTTGCACTAGAGGGCAAAAGAACACATATAAAATCACAATTTTTTCTATTTTTACTGTCAGCTCGAAAAGCAAAACGACCCTTTAACGTAACCGTAGATTTTGCACTCTTTTCATGAAACAACAGCACGACAGAATTTCTTCCAGGCTCTCACCCGTCCATCTACTCGCATAACGTCGATTAACTTCGGTGATCTATGGGGAACCGGTGTTACGACGTAGCTGTACCATTGCCCTGTGATTTAACAAATTGTTAATAAATAATCAGTAAAAATAAACTTGATATACAAAGCAAGGAAATGTAATTAAAGTGTCACAAGTTAAGCGTAATGTTGTCCAGTAACTACATCGATCCGTTCTTCTAGAACGCCAACAGTTACGATTTACGATTCAAGGACATAAATTATCATGTCGCTAGTTTGAGGTCTGTTGCTCAAGTGGTTGACATCTACGCGTACACTAAGACCGAAATGGCACAGTAGTCGTTGAAATGATTTACGGAAACAGACGTCAGTTTCAATGGGCACATTCGGATCAGCGGCGGTAGGAAATAATAAAATTCGAGACAAAATAATAAAAAATGAATATATTTGTTTTTAGTAACGTCTCACAACTCAGTTATTCCATTTACAAATATTAACAAACAAGAAGTTCAAGACGTCAGAAAAGGTTTTTTTTTATTAACAAGCCAGTGATGTAGTTAATATCTAAAGAATGACTTATTCAACATTTTTTTTATAAAATATTAGATATCTTAGAAGGGAGAGATAACGATAATAATTGGAGACTTCAATGCCAAAATTGGCCGTGGTGTTGAGGGAGATAGCATAGGGGCATACGGTCTGGGCGAAAGGAACGGTAGGGGAGATAGACTTGTGCAATTCTGTGTAGAGAATAACCTCTTAATCGCTAACACCTTTTTTAAACAGCACCCCAGAAGACTGTACACCTGGAGGTCACCTGCAGATAGGGAGAAAAAAATTGTCAGGAATCAGATTGATTTCATTTTGCTCGGCCTAAGCTTCAAAAGGTATATGAAGTCAACAAGAACCTACCCTGGAGCAGACATCGGCAGTGACCACAACCCTGTCGTGCTGGACTTTAGGCTCAAGAGATTCTTGAGAGTTAAAAGAGAAAAAACGGCAAAGAAAATAGACATCGCACTATTGAACAACCCTGAGAAAAAGAAAGAGATCAGTTCTAAGATCGAAAAAGAACTAGAAATGGTAGAGGTACCTGTACGGGAAGAGGATGTCGAAAAGACATGGAATTATTTAAGAACTAGAATAACAAATATCCAGGAAAAAGATATTGGATTCACGGCAACCAACAAAAAGCAGGAATGGATGACAAAGGAAATACTAGACCTCATGGATGACAGACGGAAGCAGAAGGCAAACCCGATAGAATACAAACGTTTAAATGGGATCATTAGGAAAAAGTGCCGGGAAGAGAAAGAGATCTGGATGTCAACAAAATGTCAAGAAATAGAGCAACTACAAGCAAAGTATGATACTTTCAATATTCATAAAAAAAGTGAAAGAATTTACAAACAGACACAGAAAATACCAAGAAACAATCCTAAGAAACGATAACAACGAGATAATTCTAGGAGTAAAGGCTAAGCTTGTGAGATGGAAAGAATATATCGAAACACTTTTTAATGATGACAGTCCCTGTTTCCCACCACCGATAGATCACATATTGAATGAAAAGGCTCCAGCAATAACCAAAGACGAAGTTGTTCATGCAATAAAAGCGCAGAAAAGCGGAAAAGCTACCGGTCCCGATAAAATAAACGTTGAAATACTTAAACTCATTGCAGATAACGAAAGCAGAAGTCTAGATTTGGTAACAGCATTATTTAACAAATTATATAGCTCAAGCAAAATACCGTCAGATTGGCTTAAATCAACATTCGTAACCCTGCCAAAGAAACCCAACGCCTGACAATGTGATGACTATCGGATGATAAGTGTTATGTCCCATGTCCTCAAAACCTTTCTTAGAATCATCCACACTCGAATCTAAAAGAAGTGCGAAAATCAGATGGACAACACCCAGTTTGGCTTCAGAAACGGACTCGGAACGCGTGAAGCACTCTTTCCCTAAATGTAATGACACAGAGGTGTAGAGACATGAATGTGAATGTATTTGCATGCTTCATAGACTATCGTAAGGCGTTCGACTGTGTTAATCATCAGAAGATGATCAAAATTCTAAGAACAACCGGAGTTGACGAACAAGACCTACGTTTCATATCACAACTTTATTGGCATCAAACGGCGGTAGTTGAGATGAAGCAGTCAACATCGGAAGATATACAAACCAGACTGGGTGTTCGGCAGGGTTGCGTCTTGTCTCCGCTCCTGTTTAACCTGTACTCGGAGACTATATTTAGAGAAGCACTGGATCGAATCCAGGGCGGAATCAAGTTCAATGGAATCCCAATAGACAATATCAGATATGCCGATGATACGGTTATAATAGCCAACAATATACAAGAACTGCAAAGCATTATAGATTCCGTAGTCCACTATAGTGAGATGTTTGGACTGCATCTCAATGTCTCCAAGACCAAACTATTGGTCTTTTCTAAGACTCCAATAAATGCACACCTGCGTTTCAAGGGACAAACAATCGAGCAAGTGACCTCAATAAAGTATTTAGGAGCTAACATCAATAGTCAGTGCGACCCGAAAAGAGAAATATTTTCAAGAATTGAGCAAGCGAGAAAAATCTTCGTGAGAATGAAATCATTTTTTACAAGAAGAGACCTCAGTGCGGATCTCAGAACTCGAATGGCCAGATGCTACGTCTTCTCTGTGTTACTCTATGGATGTGAGAGCTGGACACTGGATTCACAGACCGAGAAGAGAATAGAAGCCTTCGAAATGTATATATACAGACGGATGCTGCGAATCTCATGGGTACAAAGGATCACCAACAATGAAGTACTCCAGCGCATGCAGAAACAAAAAGAGATACTGAACACCATCAAGGAAAGAAAAATGCAATACCTGGGTCATGTGATGAAAGGTGGTAGATATGAAATACTGCGCCTCATAATAGAGGGCAAAGTGTAAGGGAAAAAATCAGTAGGAAGACGCCAGAACGCATGGCTAAAAGATTTGAGGAGATGGTTTGAACGCTCGTCTGCGGAAATCTTCCGGGCTGTAGTTTCCAGAGCCACAATTGCCATTTGGATCGCCAACCTTCGGCAGGAGAGGGCGTGCTAAGAAGAAGATATCTTCATTTATATAATAATTATAACGATCTGGTTTTCGCACGGTACCATAGTAACGAAAGAATAATCTACCATTTCGATTATACCAAGTAAACCTAAACAGAGTGCATTAAGAGTTCATTTCACTAGTCCGAAAAAGTAGCAAAATAAGCGTTCGGCATTTAATGTTTTATGTAAAAATGGCTAGGTATTTTTACACAAATGAAGAAGAAAATTAAAGATAAAGGACTATACTATATCCGTATTGTACGCACATTTTAGACAATTTCTTTATTTTTAAGATTTTGATGGTCAAACATCAACAAAATATTCCTTACTTTAGATTAAAATTTGTCGAAAATAAAGACAATTTAAAATTCCGTTGTAATACGGAAATAGATGAAAGTTTTGTGATTACAGTGACATATAATTTATAATATTGGTAACAAATTGCTCGCTATTTTATGGCAAATGCTGCTAACCTTAATCAAGCCTTAATCAAAGCAAGTGTGTTTGGAATTTTGGGTGTGACTTAACACGACAGGATCGGGCTAAGCCTTAGGCAGATATCTGAAATATAATATTCCTTCGGTCACACACCCGCTTTACCCGACCCCTGAGAGCGACGCGAAAGTACAGCGTAATAGACTTTTAAGAACAAAGTATTTTAATGCCATTGAAGAACAAAGTATTATAGTGTCATCGAAATCCATTAAAATTAGTATAGAAATAAAGATGTCTAATATTGATATGGTCATTATAAATACTGACAGATAATAGATTTGATAACAATTTATAACAAAATTGTTGAATAGATGGTTCCAGAAACACTAACCAAAATAACTAACTTGGTTTTGTATAAGATTTCATAACTTTTGTAGAGGAAGAACTGCGTTGCAAGACTTTTATATATTTTATGTTTTTGAGAGTATTGGCGAAAGGAAACGAGGCAAATTTTGGTCGTATTATGAGAGATGTTGTCCACTGTGACCCCAGACGAAGACAATTACGTCGTCAGAGATACGATGAAAGAAACAAATTGCGGATTCCTTTTGTGTTAATTGAAATTACCTCACATTCATGTGGGTCGTCGCTATAACAGGCGGACGCAAACTGTATCATTACGAATGCTGACGATTCTCAATTGTGACTGATTTCCTGAAAAAAGGCGTATATTATGATGATTGAAACATGCCGCTACGGCAATCATAGTTATTAGGATAATGATTTTACGAATTCATATCGTGAGTATCACAAAGAACTTTGCAACTTTGTACTTTGAAGTAATAGAACACATTTTAGGAAACATATCGTTTTCTATTTTATCAAAAACTGTTAAGATAATTGTTAATTTGTCCCTTTTTAATTAAATTTTTGCTTAAATTTGACCTATTTTAATCAATTCTAAGTACATGCAACTTATCTTAAACGAAACAAGAAATAGCCATCTTATCCGATAGTCAACTCAGTAACCATCAATTTGAAGTTGGTTAAAGAATGCCTACCGAAGCTGAACCAACTAGGGGAAAAAAGTCCTAATCTAGATGGCAGCCCCCCAAGAGATAGATCTGAAAAGAGAGATCTAAAAGGAGAGTACTGCACTAACTGGACCACAACCGTTTTGCCTCTCAAGTGAATACCAACTGAAAGCAAAACTCAAGAACCTGGTATGTAAAACCGTAACCTGAAATGGGAATCCTCCAGCGGTCTAAGACACTCGAAGAAATTTCTCAGGACTCACGACCGAGGTAAATTAAAGATTCTCTTTGATTTAAGTAAGAACAATCTTCGGATTGTCACGGGGGTTTTAATAGGACACTGTCTCTTGAATGAATACCTGTGTAGATTGACGCTGAGAAACAATGGCGAATGAAGATTCGGTGGTTGAAATGGGGAAACCTCTGTAAAATTATTATACTGGCTTTTCTCTATGATGATTTATAACTGAAGAAAGGGGGATACAATAGAATTATATGGTCGCAGTGATCTGTCTTTAAATATGTGCTTTAAACAATCTTCTTTTACCTCTTTTATTACACTTGAGAATACTTATAACCGTCCCACCAATAACCATAATATTTTGTTAAAATATCTGCAGGTCAATTGGAGTAACTGTCCTTTTCTGTTTCCTGTTTCATCTTAGGCTGGTCTAACCCCTAGCTTTCATCGATTGGAATAGAACTATAGAGATGCAGCATACTTCCAAACATATCGATATTGGGCAATATAGTTCCACCAACCTACTAAGGGTTGGAGCAAAATCAGTAATGTTAAATTATACAGGACGCCATTCTTTTGATGTCAAAAACAAAGAAGATGACAACAAGGACAATTTTAGCGATTTTTAGTAGTCTATTGCGTTTGGTTATTTCTATATTAAGTTTTACGGACAATTGCCCGGCTACGTTAAAACAACGGTTTCGACCCAATAGATCACTGAAGTTAAGCGACGTTAGACGATGCGATTGTATGGACGGGTGACAGTCTGGAAACTCTAACGTGCATGGCAAGAATGTAAAATCTATTCACACTGCTCATAGTGCTCATTCTCGCCGGTTCGAGGCCTGTTGAGATCGGATATCTTGTTAGTAAGAGTTGATTTAGACACTCGCCAATTTGATAGATTATTGATAATCATATGGCCGAGGACCGCGGTTCGGAACCCTCGTAAACAAAGTAGGCCACGTCCAGATTAGCCTTAGCAGGAGACTAATACCACTTTGATTTCTATATATATTTTGTACGGTATAATGCTGTCAGTCTAAAATACAGTCGGTTTTAAAGACAAAAAAACGCCAGTTATCTAAATTAAGATTTAATCTTTCGCAATGACAATATATACCGGAGGCCATTGTTGCCCTGTAAGCTTTATCGCGGACCCTCCATTGTTTCGCAATTTAGTTTAAAGCCAACTGGATGATATTAACGGCAACAGAGGCACTAGATAGCTACATACCCCGATAACCCAACACAAAAAGATACGAAATTCTGTTATTAATTTTTATTTTTTGGTTGTTGTGCGTAGTTATCAGAACGACGAGATGTCTCGTTGACATGGCTACTGTTTTTAGGGCTAACGGTCACATTATCGTTTATCGTATTTATGGCGGATGACTTCCCGTTTATGGAGATTCCATATAAAAAATCAGTGTGTGTACTATGTGCGCATATTTGAAGTGGAACTTCTTACTAACAGATATTAAAACATGCCGCGGTGTGTCAAACCAAACCAAACCAAACCAAACCACGACCTTAAATTTTTACTCCCATCGCGTGTAAGGAAGTTTTACTATAGCAGAAGGAAAAGAGTAGTTGCATTCTCCTAAATATTTTCTGCCAGTTTTTACAATCTGTCGAATATCGGCAGATTGCAGGGCGTTTCAGTTGAGTTCGGTCCGTCGACCTGCGAGGTTCGAGCGTTGCGTCCCAGCAAATTTTATTATACAGACGAATTGACAAAAAATGAGTGCGTTACTGTGTGCTGCTATTGGTTGTAGTAATAATTCAAAAAATTCCCGGTTCTTTCGGTACCTTCGGGACTCGGTAACAATAACTAAAAAAATATTCTTTTATTACGTGAGAAAGTAGTGATGCTATTTCTCATTGTTTTGGTTTGGTTTGGTTTGGTTCTTTTCTCTTTTGAAATTTCTGTAATGTTTATTAGCATATATTGAAGTTTAAATATGTTATTTTATTATTTAGTACAATGTGCTGGGGGTTCAAT